GCCCTCCTCAGAATGAAATGACAGACTCTGGAGATCCCCCAGGGAGGGCCTTACCCTCCCTGGGAAATGCAGATGGGATTGGGTGGGGGGCTGGGGAGGCTGGGGGGGAGGAACGGGCGTGGAGGGGAGGGAGCTGGGGGAAGCAAGCTTGTTTCTAATTTAAATATATAATAAAAAGTGCTTTTTAAAAAAAGCTGGTGTTCCTCCATGGCAGACTGCATGACCTGTACAAGGAAACTGACAGTCCTCACTCCTAAGTTGAGGCCTCAGAGACATTTCCAGGCACCTCCACCAATACAGTTCTGTGATAGCTGGCTGGGATTCCTCTCTGGCTCCTGTATTTCTTGAATCAGATTAACTTTATAAAGGTTTAAAAAATAAAATAAAAACAAAAAGCAAAACCCAACATAAAGGCTGGGGGTACAACTCAGCAGTATATAGTTTGCCTAGCATACACGAGGCCCTAGTTATCCCCAACTCACACACACACACACACACACACACACACACACACACACACACACACACACACACACGCCATGGAGAAGGAACTATACTTGCAAAATGAACTGAAAAGAACACTTTAATGCAATTGTCTCAGAGAGAGGCCAGACTCACTTCTCAGACAGTTGATGTTTGAGCTACACGCTTACCTCCTGCCTCCTCAGGCTACTCTGTATGTTGCCTGCTTTGTGGTTGGTGCTAAAATGTTCATGTGGGTAGAGTAGGTACAGTGGAAATGATATTACACTCCTAGAACATCTGTGAAAGCTTGCCTTTTGAACAAATTACCAAAGCCCACCAGCCCATCTGTCAGGAGCTGCTGCTACCCAATGCCAACTGTGAACCTAGGCCTCCCAGACAGACGCATGGGGCAATGAAAAATGGTGTCTGAGGGGTCTCAGGCATGAGCAGGCCTAACAAAAGTGACAGCTAAGAGAAATACACTGAGACTAAGAGACTGCAGAGGTGCACGCCGTCACAACATGTCTGTGGATCAAAGCACACCCAGCTCCCTGACAGAGCTCCTGCAGGCCTGTTAACCTGGCATCGTTATCGTTAGGCAGCAAAGCTCATTTCTGGCATATAACACTAGACATACTGACAACAACAGGGCTGATGAAGGAAGAAAGAATCTGTTTTGCAGTTTAAAAAAAAAGAAAAAGAAGAAGCTCTTGGATTTCTCAAACCTTTTGAAATCTCGCCAGAGAAATACTTGATTTCAGCATTCTTCAGCTTTCTGCAATGATGCTGAAAGTGGTGTCCCCCTCATGTGAAGATGTATTTCAAAGCCAGAGTTTTCTCAAGATGTTCCAAGCCTGCAGGCTCCTGATTCTTTTTCAAATTACCAAGATGATAGTATCCCTGGGAGAATTGTGATTAGCCTAAACTCTCCACAGCTGTGAGAGATGAGTGTACAAATTCCAATAAAGATTCTGCATATTCTGGACTGAATTTACCTACATGACATCGCCTATAAGACATCCAGGACCACTTGAAAGAACTAGAACTGCTAAAATGCTGCCCCATGTCTTTCCTAGCATCAAAAGCTGGGAGGCTTGCCACAGTTCCAGGAGGATGCCTCTCTCAGCCAATGCCACCCAGCAGTGGCCATTTATTCAGCAGGACTGTGGTGTGTCAGGAAAACAGTGGGGCTGGGAAATTTAACCTAAGTTCATGGGAATTCAAAGAGGCCTTGCAATTCATTAAGTGAATAGTCAGGAGAATTATTAAACACCTTGTAACTGAAGGGGTTGGCCTGGAGCTCCAAGGGACAACAAAACCAGCTGCCTTGCCACCTCTAACTCATTGAATACATGCTCAGGGCATTCTTCAGTCACTTGAGAAAGTCCACAGAGCCTTGTTGTCCTAATCTGGACACCTTGCAAAAATACTTCCCTGGACACACGGCACAGACCTAGGACCCTCCTGAATCTACCTCTGCCACCACCCTCAGTAGTTCCTAGTACCCATCTCCATCCCTTTGGGATTCACCACTACCCTACTTGAGACCCTCAAAGTCACTCCCCTTACCCTAACACTGGCCTGTCACCCCACCACACACTGAGCTGGCTGGGACTGCTTTGAGTATGAACCAGAGTTCCAACCAGACCTTCAGACCAGAGACCATTCTGAGCTGGAACTCAGAATGGCACCAACATTGAAAATCAAACATTATTCAGCTGATCCACAACCTGACAGATTAGGATACCAGCAACCAAAAAACCAAATGCCCACCCAACAAAGGCAAAACCAGAAATGCCTACCGAGAAACAGCATGCATGGTTTGGAAGAAAATGCCCCCCAAAGGGAGGGCACTATTAAAAGGTGTGGCTTTGTTGGAGTGGGCATGGCCTTGTTGAAGGAAATGTATCACTGGGCAGGCTTTGAGGTCTCATATATGCTCAAGCACGCCCAGTGTCTCAGACCACTTCCTGTTGCCTGTGTGTCAAGATGTAGAACTCCCAGCTCCTTCTCCAGCACCGTGTCTGCCTGCATACTGCCTTGATTCCTGCCATGATGACAATGGACTAAACTGTAAGGAGCCTGAATCAAGACCATGAAATCAGAGTTGAATGAAATAATGAAAATAATTCCATATATAAAATAGAATTTAACAAGGAAATATAATAATGAAATAAGAGCAAACTAAAATAAAATGTTAAATGAAAAACTCAGGAAGTCAAATAAAAAGCCCAGAAGAAACACTCATCGTACTAGATGAAGTAGAAGAGATCATTTCAGGTCTTGAAGACAAGGTAGACAAAATGGATCACTCAGTCAAGAAAACGTTAAATCAAAAATAAATAACTACAGTCCAGGCACAAAACACCCAGGAAACCTGGGACACTATGAAAAGACCAAATCTAATAATATTAGGTATAGGGGAAGATTAAAAGCTTAGGTAAAAAGAATAGACTCACAAATCCTTAATTTAACCCTATCAATCAGAGATCAACTATTACTCCCCCTAGAACCAAGTTGCAAGGGTAGTTTGCTTTTCTTGTTTTTAACTTGCACACACATGTGAGCACCTGTGAGGGTCAGAAGACGTTGGATCCTCCTGGACCTGGAGTCACAGGCAGATGTGAGCCACTCAGGACTGGTGCTGGGAATCAAACCTGGGTCCTCTAAGGAGCAAGAGAGTTGTCATCTCAACAACCCAAGCACTGCCATTTTTGTTGTTGTTGGTTTCTTTGTTTGCTTGTTTTTTTTTTTTTTCCTGTTGTTGTTCTTGTTCTTGTTCTTTTTTGGTTTTTCGAGACAGGGTTTCTCTGTGTAGTTTTGGAGGCTGTCCTGGAACTCGCTCTGTAGACCAGGCTGGACTGGAACTCACAGAGATCCGCCTGTCTCTGCCTCCTGAGTGCTGGGATTAAAGCCTCTCCAAGTGGCTTCTTCCTGTGTTTCTACTGGAGTCCGCTCCAGGTACAATTATAAGGCGTTTGTACACAAAACACCTCTTCTTTCTTTTTATAACATTGAAGAGAAGACGTCCAAGACAGAGGCGGTTGTTCCAACTCCAGTCCTACTCCAAGCACACACTTGAGGCTCACCACTGCTGCTCCAGGCACATACTCACACACAGCCCGGGCACACATATACATAATTAGAACGAATAAAATATATCTTTAGTTTCATCAATTAAAAAAAGACTTCCAAGGTAAAATGGTGAATTAGAAGTCTCCTTGGTGTGACTGAGTAAGAAAAGACCAGTCTGAGAAAAGCGGCCAGGGAGCAATCAAGAAAAAGCCATCTAAAAAGCATGGAGAATAGAAGTGGATGTGGATGGACTGGAGAGATGGCTCAGAGGTTAAGAGCACTGGTTGCTCTTCCTACAAAGGTCCTGAGTTCAATTCCTAGCAACCACATGGTACTCACAACATCTGCAGTGGGATCTGGTGCCCTCTTCTGGCCTGTGGGCACACATGCAGGGAGGATATTATATACATAGTAAATAAATTTTAAAAATTAAAAATGCATTTTTTTAAAAAAAGAAATGGACATGGACAGTGTGTAAAAAATTGCCTACAGCTTCAGCCAACCCCAGGAGGATGAACCGGAAGCCAAAACCACAAATGAATCCATGGGGCCGTATTGATGACAACAGATCTCCAGGTCCAACCCCAGGAAACACACAGTTCTTACAAATTTTATGATGTAAGCAGCCTCAACAGCAACAAAACCATGCAGAGATACAGCTAGGATGTGCTAAACATTACCTTTGTCTTAATAAAGTTGCAAATTTATTTTATCTCACTTTAAATAATGGCTGCTCTTAACAGCAGGCTGCCAAAAAGACATCTGCCCAAAGGCCTCTGATGAGCTACTAGCTACCATTCACTGTAGCGCACCACCGCATGCCGCTCTCTGCAAAGTTAAAAATGTTTTGAACGAATTAAATAAACGAAACTAATACATCATCTGGCCCAAATGTCTCCGGAGTTCAGAGTGCCGGCTTCTTTGCTAATTCAACTTCTGAATGCAATGTGAGCTGGCTGTGTTGATGCAGTGGTGTTGCAATATAGGCCTATGATAACAGACAAACACCAGGTAGGCTGAGATAGGAGGAATTTCAAGTGCTAAGGCTAGCCTAGCCTATGTGGTGGGAGTGTCAAAAAAGAAAAGAAAAAAATAGAGAATGACGGTTCAAAGCATAAGAACTGAAAACACTAGGGATTTTTGCGCTGTGGTTTATATTCCTTTTCAAAGTCATGCTTTACAGTCTTACCATGCCCAACACATTTCAGCTGATGGGTAATACAATTTAACTGCTAACCGGAGGAGAGTGTCTAGGGAACTGTTTGTCAAAGAAGGGAGGTGGGAGGCTGGCCAGCGGCTGCAACTCCAGCTTCGCTCAAAACGCCTCCATCAATAAGCAAGGAAGTAGCCGGCTTCGGCTCTGGCCTCCCTCCCTCTCCTCTCCTCTCCATCCCTCAGACTCTAGCCTTGAAGACTCATCTACAACCCTTTTATGTGACGGAATAAAAAAGACGGGCAGATGGCTCTAAGAATTCTTCAAACCACAAAAACGACGTTCGAATATGCGTGTATCTAAGCGAACACGGGCCGTGTTTTGGGGTGATCCAAACTGGGGATGAGTGCGGCAAGAGCAGAGTCTACATAGAATCTTCCTGCCAAAATTAGCATTACCAGTAGTCGTGGCCGAGTGGTTAAGGCGATGGACTAGAAATCCATTGGGGTCTCCCCGCGCAGGTTCGAATCCTGCCGACTACGGGACAGGAGGATATTTTTGCCACAGGACGTCTGTTTTGTGGTCGCAGATTTCCCCGATCCTGCTGGAACAACGAAAGATATTTACAGACGCGGAAGCGACCCGGGTTGGGATAGGGTAGGAAGCGACGCCGCGTTTGCGGTCAAGCCCCGCCGCCGCCGCCACCGCGAGTGCCAGCCCGGCAGCGCCGCGGCTGCGTGCCCCGCCCCCTCAGGCCAAGGGCGGTTTGCGCACGCGCGGCTCTCGCGTTGCCGTGGAAACCACCCGCCAGACGCGCCGATTCAAGATGGCGAAGGACCTGGATGAGCTGCTGGACGAAGTCGAGACCAAATTCTGCAGACTCGACCCCCTGAGGCTGGGCCTGGGCGAGCAGCCCACGGGCGGCGGCGGCACGCACAGCGGCGACCGGACGCGAGCCCGGGAGGAAGAGAACCTCAGGTTAACGCGGGCGGGTGGACGTCCCGGCACAGCCCTGCTGGGCCCAAAGCCGCCCTCCGCCGCCGCGCGCTCCCGCGGCCTGGGCCCCCGCTGCCTTAGCTCTCGCCCTGGGCGGCCCCCCATCGCGGCTCACACCCCGCCCCCACCTGACAGGGCCCCGCAGCGGATCCCCCCTAAACGTTCCCCCCAGGGGTCCACGCGGACCCGGCCCAGCCGGGTTCTTATCCCGGGAGGTGCGAGACTGAAGCATCCTATTTCACCCCGTTACCAGGCAACCCTTAGGCCAATTGTTAGAAAACCATTCCGTGTTGTGGTTGTCTGACTCAAGCTCCAGGAGTTAGATGAGGTTAGACTTAAAGAAGTATCCTCTGGAAACACCTGAATTAAACTGCCCGGTTGCCTGCCATTCCCCATGGCTCCAAGTTAAGGGACCCAGCAGATGTCTGATATCCTGGTCGAAACTTGAGGACACTTAAGTCTTCGGGGATTTGAACAAACAACAAAAAAGAAAGCAACAGTGCATTGTCCTTTAAAGTGGGGACTTGGGATGGGCAATAACCCTTGCTAGAATCTTTTGGAAATATGTCGCTTGCCTAGACCCTTTGGGAAAAGCGGGTGGTATTACAGTGGCAGCTTTGCATCTCTGATCCGGGCCGTTGTGGTCCCCCAGTATTAGATCAACCTGAACCTGCCATGACATTTGTTAATAAAAATTAAATCTGGGGGCGAGAGAAGCGTTAAAAAAATTCTAATAGGCCGGGCGGTGGTGGTGCACGCCTTTAATCCCAGCACTCGGGAGGCAGAGGCAGGCGGATCTCTGTGAGTTCGAGGCCGGGCTCCAAAACAATACAGAGAAACCCTGTCTCGTAAAAAACAAACAAAAAAAAATTCTAATAGAAGTTCCAAAGCATTTTTAAAAAATAGACAACTAGCTGGGCTGTTGTGGTGCATGGCTTTACCTTTAACCAGCACAAAGGAGGCAGAGGCCAGCAGATCTTTTTAGTTAGAAGCTAGGTCTACAGAGAGAGTTCCAGGACTACACAGAGAAACCCTGTCTCAAAACACTAAAACTAAAAATAGACAAGTAAAGTGGCCGCTTTTAACTGGCCAACCCCCATTTGGCTGGATGTTTATAACCATACACTTCTGTTAACTTACATATTACTGTCTTCCGTGTCAGAGCTGCTTATGCAACTTGTGGCCAGCACGGTGCATCCCGTTCGTGTCTCACAGCAGAGTCACGTTGTAGGTGTTGCTCTTTAGTTGTCCCTTTATGGCTGGAGAGGATGTATCGCCTTAGAACCCGTATAGAGAAGCACAGGCTGTCTTGGAGAGGCAGCTCAGTACTGAAGAGATGGCCGTTTGTAAGGTCTCCCAGCCATTGGTTCTTTCATGCCTGTTTTGTACTACTAGAATCCATCCACATGCTCCTCAGGCCAAACACATTTATCAAGCCTCTAGTGAATCAAAACTGTCACCATTTGTGTTAAAAACACAAACACCAGCCAGGCGGTGGTGGCGCATGCCTTTAATCCCAGCACTCGGGAGGCAGAGGCAGGCAGATCTCTGTGAGTTCGAGGCTGGGCTGGACCGATAGCCTCCAAAACAATACAGAGAAACCCTATCTCAAAAAACAAACAAAAAACACACAAACACCAAGGAGGAATCTCATGAGGACATCTTCATAGCCTGGCCCCAGTGGTGCAATCTTAATCCCAGAAGCAAAGGCAGAGTGAGCTCTGAGTTCCAGGCCATAGTAAGACCCTGTCTCGCCTGGCATTAGTGGCGCACGCCTGTAATCCCAGCACTTGGGAAGCAGAGACAGTGAGTTTGAGGAGAGTGAGTTCCAGGACAGCCACATCTGTTACACAGAGAAGCCCTATCTCAAAAATAAATAAGTCCTTTTTCAAAAAAAAAATAAATAAGACGGTTAAAAACCTCATATACAACTGAGTCATGTGCTTCTGAAAGAGAGAGACCTAAATGTAGTGATCTGAGGTAAGTTCACTGTAGTTGAGAGAGGCAGGGATAAAGCCAGAGATAGAACATTAGATCTGCTAGCAGTTTGAAAGATACTGTTTCAATAGGAAAAGTATCAAAGTTCCAAGACATGAAGTCATTTCAGCTAGGTCAGTATCTCTAGACCAGTGAAGATTTGCAATGGCCAAGAAATTCTTTTGGTTATCACAACTGGAAGATGTATATGAACATCCTAGATAGGGACCCTGTAAAGCAGCCTAGAATGTCCAGTAGCGCCCCCTCTCAACATCCAGGAGTTATCTGATCCCAAATTTCAGTAGTTCTAAGATTGAGGCAACCATGTGGATTACAGATACTAAATCAAGTGACGTTAGTAAGAAAGAGTGGTAGCTTCAGGAGACCATTTTTTAGAGTGTTGGAGTCTTGCTGTTGTCATTGCTATTTGCTTAGAATAACAAGTCTTTCAGCATCCCTCTAAAGCAAAGGAAAATGCTATGAAAGGCATTAATGACAGAAGTGAGAGCAGGAACAGCTAAGGAGGCAAAGCCTGCAAGTAATTTTATTAACCATTTGGTACGAGAGATACATTCCTAGTGTTAAGTTTGAAAGTAAATACATTTCTAAAGAATTTGAATCAAAAATAATCTAAAATAAGTCATAAAATGGTCTAATGAACTCTTGAAATTGATTAAGTGTCCACAATATAAAAATTGTAAAAGCAGTTGTCTCGTAGGATGTAGGTATGTGAACTGCCCTTTGTCTATATGGCCTTGTACAAGCTGCTGGATCTCTGAGTGCCTTTCCCTCACCTAAAAATAGTAGTAGTGGATACTGTCTGCCTGACAGTTGGTAATGTTCATTTTGGGGGATGGCAGCAGGGCATTAGGACCCAGGACTGTGTCCATGCTAAACAGGTCCTCTACCAATGTGCTATATCCCCAGCCCAGGGTTCTCTTGAATAGATGTTCTGTGTGGCAGTACTTTACACTAATCATCCTGTGGTGGCTTCCCTTGAAGAATGTGGTGTAGTTGAGATATTCTGACACATAGCAATGGTTCTTTGGCTTTGAGGAAAGGTCTCCACTTTTTGGTCATTGCCGACATGAGCTTTGGCTCCTTTAGGAAAGAGATAGGGTTGTTTGACTTAAAATTGAACCTTTATGGTATTAGGATTTATTTATAATCTATATATTTTGTATTCTCTGTATAAGTGCATGACATAATTTAGAAAAGTACATTCCCATTTTTAATATAATATATAATCTTTTAAAAGATGTATTTATTATGTATACAGTGTTTTGCCTGCGTGTATATATGCCTACAGGCCAGAAGAGGGCACTCATTACAGATGATTGTGAGCCACCGTGTGGTTTCTGGGAATTGAACTCAGGACCTCTGGAAGAGCAGCCAGTGCTCTTATCCACTGAGCCATCTCTTCAGGCCCCCCCATAATCTTTTTTTGTTTGTTTGTTGTTTTTGTTTTTCGAGACAGGGTTTCTCTGTATTGTTTTGGAGCTTGTCCTGGAACTCGCTTGGTGGACCAGGCTTGGTCTTGAACTCACAGAGATCTGCCAGCCTCTGCCTCCCGAGTGCTGGGATTAAAGGCTTGTACCACCACCGCCCGGCTTTTTTTTTTAGGCCCCCCCCATAATCTTAAATATCTTAACTGCATAATAGTAAGATACATGTGTGAATTTGTATCAATGAACTATATTTCAACAAACAGCTTATTTCTGTATGTTTAATTCAAGTGTATTATTGACACAAGGTTGGCCATGTCAAGAATCCTAGTGCCTCAGACCCACAGGAATGGCACAGCCTTCCTGGCCAGGCTTGGTGACAAGCGGCTGATCTTTGGTTAGAGCAGTGCACACAGAAGCTATCCACAGCAGCCTCCTCCTTCCTCTTCATGCTGCCTGTAATAGACCCTGAGTTTCCCACATCGCTTTGCTGTGCGCCATCAGAGCGCAGCACCCACCAGATCCCGGCCTTTCTGTATGCAGCTCTGTCATTTCTTCACGCCCAGTTGCCTCGGTCAGGTCAGTGTCGAAGCCCTGCAGGCTGTGATGTTTCCATACCTGAAAAACACCCTTGTGCTGTCCCTGCAGCAGTGACATTTAAACTGTCTGAGCCATCTGTCTGGCAGGGCTTATTGTGTGTGTGCCTGTTTTCTTTGCAGATCAACAGAACCATGTAAAAAAGAAGATGACCTTGACAGTCTTATTAATGAGATATTTGAGGAGCCTAACTTTGATAACAAGTCTTTTGTAAGTCATGTTATAAGTGTACAGTAATTCTGTCATTATTTAAGGTACTCAGAATAGCCTCAGAAGTTAAGACACAGTAGCTACCCAATGTAATCCTTTGAACTCCACTTGAAAGAGTATAGAGGATAAGATATTAGAGTCTTTGTTAATGTCTCAGCAAGAGTGAGAAATCGGGAAAGCTGCAGTAGAGAAGTCAATCCACAGATCAAGTAGTCACTGAAATGTCTTGGGTAGTGTCTAAGGATACCTTTCTAAAAGGCCCCAAGCAGTCAGCTTTCAGTACAGGAATGTCTTTAGTGTCTACAGTATAATGACACTAATGTTAGTCCCCAAACCAGTGGATTTCACTAAATTGTAAATGTTTTAATGCTTTAAATGTTTAACAGTCAGGAGCTGGAGAGATGGCTCAGTGGTTAAGAGGACCCGAGTTCAATTCCCAACACACACATGGCCACTCACAGCTGTCTGTAACTCCAGTTCCAGCAGCTCTGGCATCCTCACACAGACATATGTGCAGGCAAAACATCAGTGCACATAAAATAAAAATGAATTACTTTAAAAAAAGAAATTCCTTTAAAAAGAAAAGTAACAGCTACCAATATACTGCTGTGTGAGACTCATCGCCATATCTACCCATTATAAACATGTCGATACTTTTCCATATTCTCTGAACTTTTTACATTGGCTAATCTGTCTTAATTGGCAGACAGAGAGACAGTTTTACATATGCCTTTTTCACACACTGTTTCTGTTAACCCTCCCTTGCTCTCCTCAGCTCCTCACCCCTGTACCACCCTATAACTTTCCACCTATAATAGCCCCCTTCTGTTTGTATACCACCTGTGTTCTAACATCCCCGCCGTTAAGGCGTCCCCGCGCCAATGACCAACCCTTCTCTTCTTTTCTGGCTTCTACAGACTCTCCAAGTGATTTTATTGTGACTCCAGGTGAATCATTAACAGTGTCTCACTAGTTAGCCCAAGATAGCCTTGAATTTGAATTAGTGATCCTCTTACATCAGCCTTTCAGTGGTGGCATTATAGGCATATGCCATTGGGTCAGCTGGACTTTTTAAAATAAATTTTAAATTATAATATAGACCTGGAAATCATACTGCACTGCCTTCCTTCCCAGACAGAACTGCTATCCTTTCCCTTCACACATAGGCTTAAATGTCTTAAGTATAGTAAGGTACATGTGTAAATTTGCACCAATAAACTATCTTTGTCTTAATGAACTTAGTGTATTTCTGTGGGTTTGGTAAGTCCTGAGTGAATGTGAATTTCTATATTAGTTTGCTTTTTCTTCCTTTCTTTCTTCATTTCTTCATTTCTTACCTTTTTTTTCCTGCTCCTTGCCCCACCTTCTGCTGACTCACTTACTGCATTTTTAAGCTGCACTTGAACCCAGATCTTAAACCCCAGGAAGCAACAGCAAATGTTAGTGCACCAGCTTAGCGCCACAGTTGTAACCCTACATTGTACAGGAGACATGCTTCCCAGATGAAAAGATACTCGTGTGCTCTATTGAAGTTTTACAGATGCAGCAAAGTATTTTCCTGTTTAACATCAAATAAAAATTTAGAGAGATGGTAAAGTGAAACATTTGTGCCTCTTAAACTTCCTCAGCCACTAGGTAAAATGAAGGCATGTCTGCAAAGTTTTAGATGCCTTTTCCCTGTCTTGCTTCCTCTTGCTGGCGGTGGTCCTAGGATGTGGTTGGTTTATGATGTTTGCTACTTTGTACCAGTTAACACTTAATAAATGCTCACTAATGACTACTGTGTGGCTGTGACTAGGTAGTTCAGCATTTTCCATGGTCATATATTGCTTGATACCATTATATTTGGTCAAAATTAATAACCCTGAGCTTGTACAGGAACTTACTTTCAGTTTAGATAAGTACCATTCAGAGCTTTAAAATTGGGCCTGGGGGTTTTCCCCTCCTCAATTGAATTTTTCCAGAATGAAGTTTTAAGTAGCAGGCCCTTCATGTTAAGTCATTGAACCCTGGTATTAACTGAAGAGGTATAAAGTGACTCTGAATCTTAGCCTGCATAGCAGCAGTAGATCAGTTTCTTAGGCCAAAAGCATTGTAATTTGCAAATTCCTCAGGGATCTCTCCTTCCCTCCTGCCTTTAAAAAGTTTTGATCACTGGTTTTGGGTACCTAGAAAGGATACCACCAAATGTTTTATTTACATCATTTCAAAATATTGTTGTCCTCTAAGCCTTTGGTTTTTTATTTTTGTTTTGTTTTTTAGCAAAAATTGAAATCCAAATCTTCAAGTAATACATCTGTCAGAGCTTCCATTCAAGGCCTCAGTAAGAGGTAAGCTGAGATGGCTTTGGTGAATTCTAGGCTGAGTGAGCAGAGGCCTCAAGGATAGGCCGTAGACTCTGTACCATTTCAACAACAGTGGCATTGGAGAACAAAGCACCGGTTGACCTTAAACAAAAGACCACTAGCAATGTCTGGAGTGTGCTTAGGATCTATGACCTCTTTAGTGGAAAGGAAATTAAATAGGAGATTATTGCTATTGTAAATAATTTTCTGCTGTCTTAAAAAAAGTGTTAATGGTCTCTAAAAATTAATGTTCTGTTACTTGCTTTAGTATTTACTTTATTCCTTACATTATTAGCCCACATTTTTCTGTGACTCATTTTAACTCCTTGAGTGTTTCTGGATGCAGGTTATATCCTATAGAGAGTGATTATGTAATAAATATCTCCTCCTTGAAATAGTTGGCCTGCTAGAGGAAAGCATATAATATGATCACAAGAACATAGACTCAGTGAGACCAAACTAACGTCTCATGTTTCTTTTTTTGTTGTGATTTCATTTTTCTCCATCTGCTGAACACATCTAGTTGCAGTCCAGTGTATCTCAGTGGAAGCACCATTCCATGTGGGATTGGAACAAATACTTCACAGAGGTAGGATATGGGAAATGTAGTCTACTTTCTTGCTGGGATGCCCGGTGTTAAAATACAGTTCTTACTGCCTTGGCATCAGTCTGCTTTACAATGAGAGCTGTGTATTGTATTAACCAGTCTAAGGATACTTTGCTGACTCATTTAATAGTCTTGGGAGGTAACTGTTAAAGGCTGAGTTGTACAGGTGGCACATGCCTGTAATCCCAGCATGTGGAGGATGGGGCTGGATGATTGCTATAAATTATAAATTCAAGGCCAAGCCAGCCTAAGCCAACACAACAAGACCTAGATTTGACAAAAAAAAAGTTGTGATGTTGAGTTTGTGTTGTTCATTGTATTGGAGCCCTTTTCTGAGCCCCACCCAGGTTTTCACAGAGCACCAGGAGAGTGTGCAGATGTGCTTTCTTCCACGCCATGGGAATAGTGGCCCGTGTAGATGCAGTGATACAGCTGTACAGCAGATGCGGTGCCTTGGCCTCACTGAGAAGCTAAAGGTCTTCCTTGTTAGCCAGAGTTCTCGGGCTTGACCTTACATGTTTCTAAAACAGAAACCTATTGCTTCTTGTCTCTTCTCACCCATGCTGTCTGTTTAGTTCTTTTTTAGGCAGTCTTAGAGCCAAGATGGCACTCACTGCAAACCCCTGTCACTTCTAGTACATTCCATTACTGTTTTCACGGGTTGGGAGAAAACTGACTGTAAGCAAATCTGTGTACTGCTCTGTTACTTTTGGTTTTTTGTTTGTTTGTTTGTTTGTTTGTTTGTTTTTGGCAGAGGCCCACTTACCTACATTATTCATATCTTCTCCCCTAGTTGTTTCTTTTTCTAAGATATATTTATTTATTATGTATATAGTGTCCTGTCTGCATATATGCTTGCACACCAGAAGAGGGCACCAGATCTCATTATAGATGGTTGTAAGCCACCATGTGGTTGCTGGGAATTGAAGTCAGGACGTCTGGAAGACCAGTCAGTGCTCTTAACCTCTGAGCCATCTCTTCAGCCCCCATAGTCATTTCTAAAATACTTTATTTTTGTTCATTTTTAATAAGAAAGGGCCATTATTACATATTGAACACACTTCTGAAGGGTTGTTATATTAATAATAGAAGAGGGGCCCAAAAAAGTAGGGGTTTGGGGTGGTGCCAGTTTGGATTTTAGGAATCCAGGAAGGAGAGGCCATAGGACCAAAGTGAAGTTGGGAGTCCAGGAAGCTGGATGCTGCCTGCTGGATATAAGAACTGATTTTCAGAGCTATGATATGTCTAAGGCGACTTTTGTCCAGGTAGCCGGAACTGTCGCAGCAATTTCTGCTGTCATCCACTTCCAGCTTCTCTAACCTCATCACGTCCAACTTTTCCAGATAGCGGTGCTGAAATGCCTCTCTCCTGTTCCAGTGGCAGCCAGGTCTCTCCCACTTTAACTCTAAACTCACTATAGTCCTGACTAAAGGGCTTGGTCTTCCTCTTTTCTCTGGTGTCTTCCCCTGAATAAACCCCGAAGCAGGTGCAGTTTGTACTAGAACACCTGTCTTTCCCCCACTGAAATGGTCCCGCCTCTGAGTGTCTGAGCATCTGTTCCCTGTGGAGAGCGGTGCTGCTTTCTCACACGCGTCCCCTCTTGTCCTGTGTGCTTTACCCACGTACTACAGTCTACTCTCTTACTCCATTGTAATTTCTCTTTTGTTCCTTCTTTTAAATGTTTGCAATGTACACCCAAAGCCCTGGGCTCGTTGACCAAAACCAAGTGACCAGTAAAGAAGCAGGTAAAAGATCCTGGAAGGAAAGAGTTCTGATGTCAGCATCCCTGTGTCATCCTGCCACTCATCCACCAACCCTCAGAAAGGAGTAATACCTTCTAAAGTCTCACCCAGTATGCTCACCTTTAAAAATCAAACATACTTTTTGCACTTGGGAGTATGAGGCAGGAAGCTTGCCACTAGTTTGAGAGCAGCCTGGACTATAGAATAAAACCAGGCCAGCCATACCTACATAGCAAAATCCTGTTCCTCCAACTAGCCCTGGACAAAAAAAAACTCCCAGGTAATATGTCCAGCATCAGTGGGTGCATTGTTACAGAACAAGGGCTCAAGTCATGAAAAAGGAAGCTCTTAGCTGCTTTCACTGCTACAGCTGCTGCTTTTTCTTTTGTTTTCATGTGAGGTATCTTGTGGCCCAGGCTATCCTCAGTCTCACCATATAGCCAAGGATAAATTTGAATTCCTGATCCTCCTGCCTCTACCTCCTAAGCACTGAGACTGCAGGCATGTGACTCCATCCCTAGCCGCCAATATTATTTTGAAACTGTCCAAGTATCAAGACTTTCTAGCCCTTTGTGTACATCTGATGGGATTTAACTAAGAACTACAGAGTCTTGGCAGTTACATGGGAGAACTATATCTTGAGTATTCCCACTATAAACATCCATAAAATGGTCAGTTCTGCTTATCAGCTGGATAAACATAAATACCTTCCTTAGTATAGCCCCTCTATATTTTACAGGGAAAAAACTTAGTTTATTCTTCATTGCAGTCATGATTTCATATAATTTTATGCTAACAGATATTTGACTTACAATAACTCCCATGTGGCTAACACATTCAGTATTAGCCATATTTCATTTTATTTTAATCTACTCCCAGACTAGCAGTATATAGTGTGCTGGGCAGGGATAGTGAGACACTCAGTCACAAGGTTAGCAACTAGTACACTGGCTTTGTATTGTGATGTGTGATAGATTAGATATGTTACACGCCATTTCAACTATGGAGGGCTTTGTTGGAACATGAACTTATCATAAAGTGAGGAGTCATGTATATATAATGATACAATTCTGAAAGAAATACTGATGGGTCCCGAACCTAAGTACTAAAGGAGGTCAGTTGTGTTTTGCCTATTTATTTTATTCATTTGATTCCTGGATTAGGCTCCAATGCAGGGGCAATGCAGGCTGTTTTAAAGTGTGAACATGACAGTCTTTTGCCCAGTTGGTAGAAGCAAGACGGAATAGTAATGGAACACAGTGTCATTAGCAAGTGGTGTAGACAAGACAAGACTCGGGCATCCTTCCCTGTCCTTCTGTCTTTCCTTCTCTCTTTCTCTCTCTTTCTGTATGCATTTGTTTGTGTGTTTGTGGTTTTTTGAGACAGAGTTTCTCTGTGTAGCCCTGGCTGTCCTAGAACTCACTGTGTAGACCAGGACTGGCCCTGAACTCAGAGATCTACCTGCCTCTGCCTCCGAGTGCTGGGATTATAGGTGGACACCATCACCTCTAGGTTGAGGCATCCTTTTAAGCTAAGCATTTTCTTTCTTAATGTACTTTTGAATTACTTACAAGGCTGGATTACCCCACTGGCTGACACTAGTTATGATCTAACAGTGAATCATAGCAGAATGATTTCTTAGTGCGCATTGGCTTTAGTTTTCTCGTAGAACAGTCTTTGTAAGAAAATATAGTAGTGTGAATAAACTTGATAAACTACTAAATTTTAAATTTAAAGTTATATTTAACATAGTGATTGAGATTTTACACACAAAATGTCATGAAAATGTAAATTATGGTCCCCACAATAGCAATAATTCAGCCAAATTGCACATCTGTATTAAGGCATTAAAGTTAACACTGTGTTGTAAGCATGTAATAAGCTACATCTGCATAAGAACACAAGTTGTGGGAGCCTTGGGAACCATCGTTTGAATTTCCTGACTTACATTCAGAATCCGATTTTAGTGTTGTGAGGGCAGCTGGGTTGCAGAGCCACAGGGACTCACACGTCAGCAACCACTAGCGGTTTAAAAGGAGTGGCTTGTGAAACATTACAAACGTTTGGTTGTAATTAATACTTTTAGAAATATTAAGCTTAAATTGGGAGCTTTAATCTCCCCTATGAGATTGATGGCTACCTTAAATGCAATCATAGAGCTTGTCATCCAGTAACTGATGGAAGCAGAAACGAAGATTCACAGCTAAGCACTGAGCCAAACTCCTGGAATCCAGTTGTAGAGAGGGAGAAAGGATAAGCAAAGGAGGCAAAACCATTCTGGGAAAACCCACAGAAACAGCTGACCTGGGCAGTCTATGGGGCCTCTGGCAGTGGAACCAGTATTTATCCCTAGTGCATGAAATGGCTTTTTGGAGTCCATTCCCTATGGAGGGATACTCTCTCATCCCAGATACAGGGGGAGGAGCCTTGGTCCTGCTCTAAATGATGAGATAGACTTTGTTGATTCCCCATGGGAGGCCTCACCCTCTCTGAGGAGTGGATGGGGTGGGATTGGGAGATGGGGAGATGGGGGAGTGTAAGAATGGGGAGGGAGAGGGAACTGGGATTGATATGGACAATAAGATTGTTTAAAAAATACATTAATCGCCGGGCGTTGGTGGCGCACGCCTTTAATCCCAGCACTCGGGAGACAGAGGCAAGCGGATCTCTGTGAGTTCGAGGCCAGCCTGGTCTACAGAGTGAGTTCCAGGACAGCCTCCAAAGCCACAGAGAAACCTTGTCTCGAAAAACCAAAAAAAAAAAAATACATTAATCATTAATTCTCAAGGAAACTTAGAGACCAGAAGTTTCCTAGTATTATTCCAGTTTTGAAGTACACATCTGAAGTTTGAGATAGTCTCATGCAGTCCAGGCTGGCCTTGGACTCATCATGGAGCCTGTGATGACCCCTCTGCCTCCATCTTAAAAGTACTGAGGTTACAAGCATGTGCTACTTTGCCTAGCCTATATTTTAATTTCAAAAGGAAAAATCTAATACTTGGTTTGTTTTATTTGTTGCAGAACTATTACTGAAAAAAGTATACTAGTAAAATATATTGAAACAGCACACTATTGAAAAGAACAAAAGCAAAATTGGAAAATATATAAAGAAAAGTTGAGTCACAAGGAAATTCCTTGACTAGAGCACTTTGTACTCTGGGCCAGTGTCAGTACTGCCCACTAGTCACATGGAAATTGTCTTGCTAGTTTTTTCACTTTGTTGTCACTTGTAAGTACTTTGCATAAAAGAATTGTGTTGTAAAGGTCTCTACACTATTACTGTGAATGTGCTCACTGCTCATACTTGTGCGTGTGCGCTCTCTCTCTCTCTCCTCTCCTCACCTCTCCTCTTCTCTCCTCGCCTCGCCTCTCCTCTTCTCTCATCTTCTCTCTCTTTCCTTTTCCTGTGTGTGTCTTAACAACTCATCAACTCTTAGTTTTTATTAAATATATCCATTATGTTTGTTTATTAAGTATTTCAAATAATGGAGAAGATTTTTGTTTCTGTTGCAGCAACAACAGTTCATAATTCTTTTTAAACTTGCTGTATATTATCACGTTTCTTACAGTTACCATGTTACACATAATGCCTCCACTACATGGTACCTACGGGAGACTTGCCTGTTACTTCAGCTTAAACCGTCACTGCGTGCCTCTCTGTCGGCCCTTGCTCTCCAACATCATCATAATCTTGCTCTTTGTGGGCCTTTGCACACAAGTATGATCCTTTCCTCCCTCAATGCCCACAACAGTTTCTAAAGAAAATGCTCAGAGACACCTTGTACCTGAGGCCGGTCCAGGCTGCCCTATTCAGAATTCCAACCCCGTACTCTCTTATCCCATTCTAAGCACACTAAAAACGTATTGACAGTGAACGCTGTCTAGTTCACCTGCCACTAGGATCTACGGCAAGCACATAGGTTCCAGCAATTTTTTTGTAGTGAGAAAATGAAAGCCCTGATGCCAGATACTTCGGAAACAAACAAGTGACGATTCCAGAAGTGGTAGTGTATGGAAGACAGTTTCATTTCAGTGTAGCAATTCACATTCTTTGATCTGCCACTCTTCACTTTATGTCCATATAATATCCGTTTGTATGTGTGTTCGGGTATTATGCAAAATCTTTATCAGATAGATGGGAAAATTAACCTGGAAGCTTTTTTTTTCTTTTTTTGAGACAGGGTCTTGCTGTGTAGCGTAGCCCTGGCTGGCTTAGAATTTACTATATAAAGACAAAGCTGGCTCTGAACTCACAGTGCTAGGATAGCTCCCATGTGCTGGGATTAAAGGAGTGCGCCACCACATCCAGTCAGAAAGCTTAAACATAAAACAGTCCTTTAATACAAACAATTAAAGTCATTAATCCATACTTTTCTGTTTCTTACTCAGTTATCTGGAGCCTGCTACTATATTTTGATATTTAAACATAGCCATCATCTTTAATGCATGTCTCTCTCCCTGACCAGAGCATGTGACCGTCTGCGTTGTGTGGCCTGTGACTTCCGGATAGTGAGCTACAATGACTATATGTGGGACAAGTCATGCGATTACCTGTTCTTCAGGTATGTTTCTGCAGAATGTTCACGCTTTGTCTTGGTTAGTATTTTATTGCTGTGAAGAGACACTATGACCACAGCAACTCTTATGAGGAAAACATTTAACTGAGAGGGCTCACTTACAGTTTCAGAGGTCAGTCATTTATCATCATGACGGGGAGCACAGTGACATGCATGAACAGTCACGTGTCCTACACCTTGCAGACAACAGAAAGTCAAACTGACAGTCACACTGAGGGACGCTTGAGTAAAGGAGACCCCAAAGCCCTCCCCCACAGTGACACACTTCCTCCAACAAGGCCACACCTCCTAACAGTGCCAGTCCCTTTGGGGCCATTTTCTTTCAAACCGCCACCTGTGAAAATATACGAAGGCTTTTCATTCCTCGTGTTGCTGCATTGTTGATCTGTTCAGTCATGTGGTCTCTGGCACTCCTCACCTTCTTTCACTCTGGTTGCTGTCAGCCTAAACAAGGGTGTGTTCTGAGTCAGAACACAGAGTTGCCGCACTGATTTTTGTGCCCATAACCTTTGCCTGCCCCACATGAGGGCAGAGCTCTGAGCATGCCGTTGTCCTGCCCAGGCTTCTTCTGCTCACAGAGAACTGTTGGGATTCCTTAGACGCCATCTTCAGGACCCCCATGGTCCAGCTGCTTCCCAGCCTGTCTTCCACACTGAACTCCACCTCTCCCGTAGCTGCATCGCAGTCCTCGGTGCCTCATTCTTTCCCAGGACTTTGCAGGTCCCCTCTCCTGACACATCTGACCCCATTTTCTGTCCCCAAACCCTCCCTGTCCTTCCAGGTACAGTTCATCATGCATAAACATATTTCAGAAGTTTCATAGTCCTGACCCCAAAAAAGTTAAGTGTAGCCCCAAAATCCCAGGCTCTTTTTTACTCTCAGAGTTGGAAAAGTAGATTTCAGTCCCCTTTGGAGTTTTTTTGTTTGTTTGTTTGTTTGTTTGTTTGTTTGTTTGTTTTTTGGTTGGTTAGTTGGTTGGTTAGCTGGTTGATTGGTTTGGGTTTTTGCTATTCACTCTTTTCTGGTTAATCTAACAAGTGTCTAAGTAATTCTGAGTCACCAACATGGGCATGCTTCAGAAACTGGGCCATAAGGTGACGGGCACCCAGTTCCTACTCTGAAGAAGCACACAGTTCTGCGAGGGAGACGGTGTGGAGAACATGACACTAAGTGACAGTAGAGCTAGATACAGGGAGGATGGGCACACTTCATCTGTAGCATAAACCAGGAAGCCTGCTTTATTAGTGGTTGGGTTTGAATCAGGACTTCATGCATGCTGGGCAAGCACTCTATGAACTGAGCTATGCCCCCAGCACTTGGAGGATATTTTTAAAGACACAGAGAGAGGTGAAACTTGCATAGCATGGTGGGGAGTCAGGAGTGGTTTAACAAGAGCAAGAGATGGCCTGGGCTGAAGTAGTGTAGAGAGGTCAGCAACAGTAAAGAGTTTAGATGTAATCCCTTCAACAGTGGCTCACAGGTGAATGCTTTTCAGTTAGAGAGAAACCTATACGGACTTTGGTTTGGTTTTGTATTGTGAGACAGGGTCTCACAATGTAGCTCTGGCTAGCCTGGAATTTGCTTAGCAGACCAGGATGTTCTTGAACTTGTGGTATCTTCCTGCCTGTGTCCTTGGTGCTCAGTTTGTAGTAATTCATCACTACACTCAGCTTCAGATCTTAACTTTTAAAGGATAATTATTCTGTTTTCCCCTAGCTCTTCATAACCCTATATAGGTCACTACTGGTAGGAGTGTCATTTTCCTAAACTCAGACACTTGGCCCAGAAAGTCTCTAGGGTTTTCTTAGATTCTGACCTACTAAATAGTGTCTGAATTTGCACACTGCAATTGTTGAGTGTGGTTATACATTGACCACCAGAGGGCAGTCTGAAAACTTCCCTCTCTTGCAGAGTAAGTAATGATGTTGACCACCAGGCCTCTTGAGCATGTACACACTGCATTTTATCATTTCTCTTTGGGGTCTTTTTCCCCCCAGTGTTTTATTTTTAGCTTCTCCAGTTTTATTTTACAAAGATATGTTCATAAATGTATTGCATGAATTATCATAAAGAGGATAATTGATTTTCTGTAATAACTAAACTTACAGTAACTTCTGTATTCTTATAATACAATCAAAACGAATGGTTTTCATTTTAATAATTGTCTTCTCATTTCTTTGGTTACTTTTTACATTATTAACACTTCAGGATAGGTACTTTGATGCTGATATAACAAATAAGCAGGTGATTTAAACAAAATGGAAGAAATAGCTGAGTTGAGCATAGAAAGCTCACCAACTTGTTTTCCTTGTAATAGAAGTATGTTGTAGCTAATGCACCTTTCTGCCACTTGTCATAGGCCTTTATGACACAGGTGAGTGTCTGAGGTTGGGTGAGCCTCCACACTTCCCATTCCGTCCCCGTTCATGTCATCTCTGACTAGTGACATCAATAATTTTCAGAACACACACATCTAGAAGATTATCATTAACAAGTATGATTGTCCAAGAAACACAGTCAGAACAGAACACCTAAGCATGACTTTTTCTTCTTTTGCATCATAAACACCAAACACAGACACTATGCTCAAGCCTGTCTGTTTTGTCACAGAAACAACATGCCGGAATTGCACAAACTGAAAGCAAAGTTGATCCAGAAGAAAGGAGCACGAGCGTATGCCTGCCAGTGTAGCTGGAGAACTGTTGAAGAACTGACCGACCTGCAGACGGATCGTCAGCTTCGCTGGGTCTGTGGTAAACACTGAGGACGCACACTGTTCACATTCCAGTAGCTGCCTCTGCGAGAGCCAGCCAGCTCCGCTCGCCACACTTGGGTAACAGCACATAGCAGGACTACGCCCTTGGACACAGGCAATGAATTTTATGCAACTACAAATTTTTGAAGACCAAATGGACTGGGAAGACATTGTACTGCGACACCTTGACATTATTCCTTTTAACATGGACATTTTACTTAGCAGGGTAAAAATGTCTGAATTTACTAGCCTATCTCCTGTTAGGGATTGAAATTGTAGCATTCGTGTAAATTTACAGCCGTTCCGTAGCAACTGTAGCACTGACTGCTAATGCTTTCTGACACACTCCTCCTGTGTTGTGGTAAACAAGCACCCAGTGGCCAGAGCAGAAAGGTTATTGTATGTGAGTGTTCATGGTCCCTGCTCTGATCCATGATTATCAGAGACTGTAAGTTAGACATGAGAAAGATGACCATTGATTAACTGGAGGGTTGTCAAGAGTACAGTATGTTGTAAACCCTGCCTTACATGTATCTCATCTTGTCTCACCAACTCAACTCAGTATTATGCACAATAATGATAGTAATAGTAAAGTTACCATTGTTAGCATATTCCCCTTCTGTGTTCATTGAAATATCAAAAGGTAGTTTTCTATTGGCAAATATCTATTTAAATATAAAAGAGTTTTGATGTAACTAAAATTACTAAAGTTTTTCAAGTATACTCCATAATCCCATCAAGTGAGCAGCAACCTTCTCAGGCGCTGTGGACTTTCTAGTACTGTTAGGTTGATACGTCATTTATTGGCACATAGCTAACCAGTGGGTAGCCTGTTGGGCTCCTGCCTAATATCACTGAGATGGGAAGAACTGTATCATAGTGACACGGTCAAGAAATGCATTATCTCAGTTTCACTTCCCAGTGCCAAAGACATTTTGGGACCTTTCTAGTCTGCCAAAATTCTACCCTGAACACCTACTTCCCGCGTGTCTATAACTTTTGGTTTAAGTGTGTGACACAGGGCACCCTGAAAGGACATAAATTTTAGCACAGATATGATCGGTTTTATGTTAACGTCATTCCAGCCACCTAGCAACACTCTGATCACTGAAAGCCTTTTCCTAGGCTGGGGTCTGACTCAGTGGTAGATTTGCTTGTAATAGCATATACAAGGCCCTAAGTTCATCCCCAGCAGTACAAAACCAGAGAAAAAAAGATAGAAAAGCAAGCTTTTCCTGCCCACAACACATTTATGTCCGTGTAAACATAATTGCAATAAAAGAAATCTTAAAGTGGCTGATGCTCACACTTTTGTATTAATATATGTTTACAAGTTTTATCTTTCAATAAATCTTTTTACTCCCCAAAATTATATCTCTAGGTAATTAATGTAAGAAACATGGAAAAGTTTTGATTGACAACATATACTCCAAAAAAAGCCTAACAGAGCAGCAGCATGCACATGTGTACTCAGAAACTCATGAGGGTTGAGCACAGATGCACACTTGTTACCCCAGCACCTGAGAGACTGAGGAAGGTTCACGGCCAGCCTGGGCCATGAAGTGAGGCCCCATCTCAAAATAAAAACAAAGAGTGAGAGAGTAAGAGAGAGAAAGCCTACCAGTTAAGCTAGTTAGCTGTCATGGTGGTGACTGCTTTTTATTCCAGTATGTACATTTATTAAGCCAATGGTTTGAAAATATTTTTTAGAGCTGGCCATGGCTACTCAGAAGGCAGATCTGTGAGTTCGAGGCCAGCCTGGTCTATAGAGTAAAAGTGGGGTGGTATCGTTAGTCTATTTTGCCTCTAAAAGGACAACCATTTCCTTTTTCATTTTTCCTTTTATTTCATTATAAATATTTGGATAATTGAACATATTACCCATTCTATACAGTCATAGTTGCAATTATCCAATGTCAAAAATGGGTATGTGTTTCCTTTTTGTTTTTTACTCTAGCTTACTTTATAAGATTTTGGCACATTTATTCTATGAGCTGAAAACTATATGCATACTTCAACTATAATCTTAAATGAAAAGCCTGTGAAATTTTCAAGATGTTTTATCTTTGTCAATGTTTTATCAATATTTATGACCCCTACCCTTAGCAAGTACCCATTGTTAAGCAAGACAACTTCTTTTTTTTGAACTATATTATATTCTCAGATGCTTATCCTACCTAGAGGTGAATGTATAATAGACTTCTCTGTGTTATTACTTTTAATTTTATAGGAAAGTATTTATCTGGACAGTAATAGGGAATCACCAAGTTTCCAATGATCCAATTTGAACAAAGAACTTCTTCACCCTGGGGTGGGGGGTGCGGAGATATGCTGTAAGTGAGAAAAAAAAGAGGTATGCTTGAACAAAACAGCATGACATTCAAGGGTTCAAAGGGCAGGCCCAAGCTGAAGAAAACAGCATGCTGATTGCTGACACACAGCCAGATGTCGGTGAGTTTAGCATTGTCCTTCCTGTAGGTCAAAGCTGAAGACAAGAAACTAAATATCAATTACTTTTCCACCTTATTTAAAAAAAACCCGTGACATTATGTACGGTACTATGTAAGACCTTGTTTTATAAATAAGGTTTTCAAAAGCATATGGGGTTTAGGTTGACATCTCTCCAGCTCCCTTTTTGATTAATGTTTTTAGGGTTGGCCTAGACTAAACAAATATATGCAAAATAAATGCAGTTACTTGGGGCTGAAAAGATGACTTGACAGTTAAGAGCACTGACTTCTTTCTTCCAAAGGACCCAGGCTTGAGTCCCAGCACCCACATAGAAGCTTAAAACCATCTGTAACTCGGGCATAGACATACAAGTGCCTATGCAAAGCATCCGTACCCATAAGATAAACATAAATAAACGCACTTACTGAGTAGCAAAAGAAATATTGCCCAAGTCCTAACAGAATGTTACAAACAGCTGTGTGCTCATTTATTTAGTTCTGCCAAGTGATACCAATTTTTAGTATTTTTATTTATGTGTGGGAGAGGGCAGTATGTATGCAGGTACCTGTGGCTTCCAGAAGAAGGCATCCAATCTGGGAACTGGAGTTAAGGTGTGTTAAGAGAAGCTTTTTCTTTGAGAGAAGCCTTCCCGCCCGCCTGGTTCCAGATCCGCATCAGTCCCAAATAAACACACAGGAGGCTATATTAATTATGAAGCTGTTGGCCTTGCTTGTTTCTTCCTGACTAGCTCTGCTTTAAGTAATTACCCCATAATTGTTAATCTAAGTATGTTTCTTACCGGAGAGGTTTCCGGGCTTCCTACCCCAATGGCAGTTACATCTCGAACTCTTGTGTTTCTCCTTCCCAGAGTCCTCCTGGACTCCTAGCCCCACCTATCTAGATTCCTATTGGCCAGCAGTAATTTATTAACATATACACAGGACTTCCCCAACAAGGTGACTGTGAGCCACACAATGTGGTCCTCCACAAAAGCTATGTGCTCTTAACCGCTGGCCAGTCCCTTCTGCTGTAGCGTGAGGAGGCTGAGCAATGGATTTCAAAGACTTATTTGCCTCCTTGTGTTTTAACAGGTGTCAGCCAGCACACTGCCTCCCAGGACTGAGCTGTGTCTGTTACCTAACATACTGGCTATCTTAAATGTCTGCTTAGAGACTGCACAGCATCTGTCTTTGGGTTGGTGACACATTTAAAAGACTGCATTGGTGTGAAGGTGGGGAGGGGACCGAGACAGAGTCATAGAATACCTGTGACATTAAAGCAGGAAGGGAACTGTTTGGAGAGAGGATGAATGGGGAAGGCAGGGGGTGAATAAGCAAAGGCACATATGTAGGAATGCCATAATGACGGCTGGAATGTTGCTCAGTTAGTGGACTGCTTGCCTAGCACACTCAGAACCCTGAGTCTGTTCCCATCACTACATAGAGTGGCACTGTAGCACACACCATGACTCCAGTATTTGGGAGGTAGACCCAGAGGATCAGCTGTATCCTGGGCTACAAGACCTGTCACAAAGAGAAGACGTAGAAATGTCTCAGCAATAAAGATGCTTGCTGCCAAATCTACCAACCTGAGATCCATCCTCAGGACCTACATCACAGAAGAGAACCAACTGCTACAAGTTGTCCTCTGACCTACACACACACACAAGCACGCACGCACACGCACGCACACACGTACACATGATGGCAAGTATACACCCATATACATGTATACACACACAAACATATGTAATGTTTTTTTAAATGCTGCAAATAGATTTTAAAGGTTTAAAAAAAGATTGCACAGGATATGTACATGCACATGTGCATGATAATTAACTTCCCCTTCCTTAAAGTGCTCTGCAATGACTAAATGACATATTCCAGAACCAGAGTTGAGTCATGTTCCCACGAACTACCTGAGTTTGGGCTTCATGCGGACAGTCTATGTGAATAGTGGCATCTCTACTGAAGGCTTGCTGTCAATCGCAGTGTTTGGTTACAGCATTCCTTTTCCTTCTGAAGTAAATTCTGTACGTTGAAGTCATGGTGCATCTTGTTCATGCCAGCAGACCTTGGACCAAGTGTGTGTTTGCTCCTCTGTTTTTGGTTTCGTCACTAATGAATATAAACATAGCCACCTAAACTTTATTTAACTTGTAGCTTTGGGGTTTTGTTAGCTTTGAGACAGGGCCTCACCATGTGACCTGAGGTCATAGCTCACAGAGATCACCTACCTCTGAGGCTGGAGTGAGTACTCTCATTAAAGGCACACACCACAACTGGGTGTGGTGGTGCCTGCCTTTAGGAAGCAGAAGCAGGAAGATCTCTGTGAGTTCAAAGCCTTCCTGGTCTACGTAGTGAATTCCAAGACAAACAGGACTACAGACCTTGTCACAGAAAAAAAAAGGGGGGGGGCGGTGGTGTACCAGCACACACAATTCACCTTTTTTGCAGAATTCTGTCGTGGCTTGCTTAGGGAGACCGAAGCCTCCAGAAACTACCATGAAGGTATTCCCAGTTCCAAGGTATCATTTGAGTTGCCTCAGCCTCTGTCTTTCCCTCCTCCTGCCCGTTTCTCAAGCACACATCACATTCTGCTGGGTTCCCTCATCTTAACCTGCCGTGACGCGGCTCATTTCCATGATGCTTCTTACATACAATCAATTCTCAAAGTGAAGTCCACTCTCAAGTCTCCAGGAATTTCTCAGGGTGTCAACAGGCCAAGTCTATTTTCATAACACTTGACATTAATTTACTTTTGCACCATTTACACTGATAACACAAATAACAACAACAAAAAAAAGACTGACACTTCGCATCATTGGAAGTAGTGACACCATGAAAAATAAAAGCTAATTGTGGGTGGGTGGGGTGGCCAGTGGATTAAAGCATTTACCAGCAAAGCCTGATAACCTGAGTTCAATCCACGGGATCCACATAATAGAGAAAAACCATTCCTGCAAGTTGTCCTCTGATGCCTGTACAGCAGTGTTCCCTAGACATAACACCCCTACATACACACACATACATATTCTCTCTCTCTCTCTCTCTCTCTCTCTCTCTCTCTCTCTCTCTCTCTCTCTCTCTCTCTCTCTCTCTCTCTCTCTCTCTCCCTCTCTTCCTCTGTCCCTCTCTCTCCCTCTGTCTCTCTTCCTCTCTGTCTCTCTCTTTCTCTCTCTCTCTTCCTCTCTGTCTCTCTCTTTCTCTCTCTCTCTGAAGAAATGGGTTATTTTTAATTTTAAAGCCAGTTTCACTTAACATTCTTGATAGGGACAGTAAAAATTAATTATGAACTTTATTAATCTCAGTTCTCAAAAGCACATTAATGTATTTTTCATTTATTTATGTGCATGGGTATTTTTGCTTGCTATCTACTCCTTTTGGGTGTGATTTCTTCTTTTTGGTTTAGAGATTTGAGGTATATTGTTAAGTTGCTAATAGGATGTTTCTCTAATTTTTTTATGTAGGCATTTAGTGTTGTTCTTTGCTACAGCTGCGCGTGATGAAACAGGATCTACCAAACTCAACAAACCCACACGGAGTTTGTTGGGAAAGGGAGCGAAACAGGAATGGATAGGAGAGAGAACAGGCAGGGGGCGCTTGCTTATACAGGGAACAGGAGCCGTTAGAACGAGTCTCAACAGCTGGGGCCACTAAAACAGGAGTCATGGAGCTGCCGTGGGCCCAGCTCCACGTGGTTCCTGCATGCAGAGTCCTTATGCAACCACCTAACGCATGCACGACGCAGCCATGCAACCTTTGACAGCTGTCAAAGAGGAGCGATCACCTGTCAAAGGTGGATCCCGGGGAGGTAGCCTGGAGAAGAGCAGAGCAATCCCAGGGCAGGGAGAGAGCCTGAGGATTAGAGAGACCCTGTGACCAGGAAAGGTTCCCTAAGGAGAAGGCACAGGCCCAG